TTGACCTCGCTGATGCTGGATCTTGCTCTGTTCACTACTACTTTTTGTGTTCTGTATGTTAGGAAACCGAAAATCCATCTGCCTACCTTCCCGTAATACCTATGGCCTTCGTTTTGTGCGCTATCACTCCATGATCGCATTTGCCAAACGGCTTTGCAAAATCTGTGTAAATCACATCTGCGTTTTGGTCGTCTTCCAGTGCCTCTGTAATTCTGTCATAATGGTTCAGCAGTTGTGACAGACATGATCATCCTGCTCTAAAACCATGCTGGTTCGGGTTATGTTGGTTGTGCTGGTCCATGAAATTTGTAATCTGCTGTCTCATCACTCTTTCGAAGATTTTTATGATGTGAGAGGTTAGGGCTACTGGTCTGTAATTTTTAGCTAGTGCTCTACTGCCTCCCTTGTGCAAAGGAGCTATGTCTGCACTCTTTAAGGCCTCTGGTATTTCACCTAGATTTAAGTACAGATACAACATACGTCTATAACAATACACAACAACTCACAAGTTGCTTACAACTTAAACTTACATATATGTTAACCTACTGCTGAATTCATTAAACAAAGCTAAAGTAAGTAGTACTGACCCACCCTTTAGTTAACACATGAGTTCGTTTACAAAGAATTTGGGATCCCACTGTCACCTTATGGCTGGTTGAGTAGCGGCTGCATCGTCAGATGGTTCTAGCATACACTGTGCCACTTCTGCCATCTCCCTCAGACTATGCTGCTAACATCTCCCTTATTTCAAATGAAGGCCATCTTGAACCATACACAAAGCCAGCTGGTGCCTAGATCTTCTCACTAGTATTAACTACTGCTGGCAACACCAATGTGTAAGTATACTACTTTCACTGCACAAAATGTTCTATGACCATTTTTTGCTTGAGTAACTATTATTAATGAAGAACCAATACTTCCTGGTGACTACACAAGAGATTACTTTTCGGTGGCTCTATTTTAGGTCTCTAAAGAACTCAGTTTGGTTCGAAAGACCAGAGTTGTTGGGAAAAATCTTTATCTGATTGACTAGTTACTAAACATATCGATCAAATATTCATGCCAAACACCAGCTATCATATGTTATCACATGAAAGTAGAAAGACCTTCAAACAGGTTCGTGTAAAAATATATGTAGGTGTACACTTTATATCACTGGGTAAAACACTACTGCATACCATACTGATGTAAGGTGACATGGCCTGTTCATAGACCAGACCCAGGGCTCCATAACCAATCAGTAATCAGCATTTACGACCCCATGTGAATCCGTACTGAGACTCATTAATCAATTCAGAGAGTTAAGATTGTTAGTTTTGATTGTTAGTGGAGAAATTCAGTATAATGTGTGAGTGAAGTGTGTTTATGATAATTGTGCAACTTTCTAACACTGCTGAGATGGTTTCTGACTTACCCGCGATGCTTCAGTTAAAGGGAACTTACTTGTATTGTGGGCAGTCTTCCAAGGTACCTTACTGAGTCTTACAGTGTGGACATTCCTTGGTCTTAAAGAGTCTCGGGCAGGATTAATACCATGTCTGATTGGGAGATTAATACCGTGTCTAATTGGGCAGGATTAATACCGTGTCTGATTCGGAGATTAATACTGTGTCTGATTCGGAGATTAATACTGTCTGATTTGGAGATTAATACTGTGTCTAACTGGGAAGAATGCTAAGGCACTTTAACGTGCCTTTTGTAGCGAATGATTTCACACTGCCTGTGAAGATTTACATGATAATTATATCTTTATGTTCAAGCGTCATAGTTTGGGTTTTCAGTGGTTGTTCAGCAGTTGTGTTTCGAGCAGATGCTCTTCGTGAGGGAAAGGGTTCTTGGCTTTCAGGGGACATTGGTTTGATAATATTTCTGTGGAAGCAGTTAGTGTAGTGAATGATGCTGTTGGTAACATTGTGAATGATTTTCCTATAAAGCTGCAACAGGTGGAAGAGAAACTATCTGACATTATCAGCAGACTGCGGAACTCCGTTGCCTCTCCCCGTTAGAAATGGCACTGAGGAAGCAAAATGGGGAGAGTGGCGAACGTTCCGGCGGCGCCTGATATTTGGATTAACAATGGTGAACACTGGTTCAGGATCAACAGGCTCTGACTTGAAGATTAAGAAACATGTGCAACAGTTGGGTAACTTTACTGGTGAAACATGTGCCGAATATGAGAATGAAAAAAAAAGAATAGGAAAAATTACTGTACCTTGGGGAAAAGAACTATTCATTAGGGCAGCTTCTGATTTTACTCTCTTCACTATTACTCTTTGGGTTCCGTTTGTTAGAAAATTAAATATCTATCTGCGTACTTTTCAGGATATTTTGTTTGCACCATGGTTGCACTTGTCAAAGGCTTTTGTAAAGTATGTGTACACTACATTTATATTTTGATCCTTTACAGTTAAGACCAAATCTTAATGGTCAAACATTTGCTAAAGGATTCAAATACATGTTGGAGATAAATGGTATAAAATACCGACTCGATGGAAAAATAAACACAAATGCAGTATAATGCGATTTACTGACTTTAAAACAGACTTTAAATCTATCGAAAACCTACCAACCAACACGATATTCTCCACTTCTACTCCCACTACGACACCAAAACTAAACGTTGTGTAATTGTAGGCTTTTTTCTTCGTGTCCTCCGAATCTGCAGCAGTGAGTTCCTTGAGGAAGAGGGCTCTCTCGTGGAACAAGTATTTTCTAAACATCACAATCCTCGTCACTTCATTAGAGACACAGACACTATGCATATAATATCTTCAACTCACCCAGAAAAGATACTGCCGAGAGGAGCTCCATGGAGCTGAATTCTTCTCCAGGCTGAGGGACTACCTCAAATACTTTTTCTCCAAAGCTGATGGACTGATAACATCATCTTTATTTCATTTCTACTGCTCCCTTTGTATTTGACTGAAGAAGCCTACTGTGTAGGCGAAACGTTTCATCAATAAAGTTACCCAACTGTTGCACATGTATTTGAATCCTATAGCAAATGTTTGACCATTAAGACTTGGTCTTAACTGTAAAGGAGCAAAATATAAATGTAGTGTACACATACCTTACAAAAGCCTTTGACAAGTGCAACCATGGTGCAAACAAAATATCCTGAAAAGTACGCAGATAGGTATTTAATTTTCTAACAAACGGAACCCAAAGAGTAATAGCGAAGAGAGTAAAATCAGAAGCTGCCCTAATGAATAGTTCTTTTCCCCCTAGGTACAGTAATTTTTCCTATTCTTTTTTTCATTCTCATATCCGGCATAAACATGGACATATATCATAATACTATCATCTTTGCAGACGATACTTGAAGTTCTATGAGAGTGGCATCCACGGAAATACAGAAAACCTACCTCCAAGCTGATATATCAAGTCTTCCAGTGAGACAGTGACAACAATGCTGCAAGTTCAATAATGATAAGCTTCAGTTATGCCACTATGGAAAAACTGAGGAAATAAAAACCTGAGTGAAGTATAGAACAAACTGAAGTCACAACACAGTGGAAGGTTAATGCGAGAGACTTAGGAGTGATCATGTCGGAAGACCTCACAGAAATCACTCCTAACGAAAAAAGGTGGCTTGGCAGGTGCAAAAATACATCCAACGAAGACAGTGGTGCTATGAATCCACTGGTGGTGCCATGGTCCCTTTGCACTCAATAAGTGCAAAGGGACAAAACCTCTTCAACATCATCCCTTTATGCATAAGGGGAATTATCAACAAACCCCTATCAGTCAAGAGAAAACATGAGTTCCTCAGATCAATTTCTGATCAGCCAGGATATGATGCATACGATGGTTTGCGAGTGGCTAGCACCAGCAGCCTGGTTGATCAGGCCAACAACCGGGAGGCCTAGTCTGGGACCAGGCCCCTGGAGCAGTGATCCCCAAAACCATGAGCAGGTAATCTACAGGAAAAAGATGTGCTTTTTCAAGTCATGGCCTGAAAAATTCTTGTTCTTGCCCTACTTGTCGCCCTGACCTTGGCTGTTAGTCATAGCTCCTACCTAGACTTAAGAAGTTACAGTACTGACCTTCACGTAGTTATGTTACTGACTTCCACGTAAAGTTATGGTACTGGCCTCGACGTAAAGTTATGGTACCGGCCTCGACATAAAGTTATGGTACTGATCTCCACGTAAAGTCCGGGCACTGGCCTCCATGTAAAGTTATGGTGGAAATAAATGGTATAAAATACCGACACAATGGAAATATAAACACAAATGCAGTATAATGTGATCCTTTATTGACAACGTTTCACCCACACAGTGGGCTTTTTCAAGTCACACGGATCTACCTGGGGTTGGAAGGTACGAGAGTATTTATAGTCAGAATGTTGAGGTCAGGTGGAGAATGCTGCATCTGATGATCTACCGGGTGGGGTTATAGAGTCTTGGGTAGCTTGGCAAGGGTATTGGACAAGTTGTAGACCTTCTGCAGTGTTCTATGTTCTTATGTGGGATAGCGATGAAGAAGTTTCTTGGCGAGTGGTTCAGCTATGTTATAGAAGCCATTGTTCTGGTTGAAATTGTTGGTTATAGAGATAAGCGATGATTCCAGAGATAAGCGATGATTTCAACCAGAACAATGGCTTCTATAACATAGCTGAACCACTCGCCAAGAAACTTCTTCATCGCTATCCCACATAAGAACATAGAACACTGCAGAAGGTCTACAACTTGTCCAATACCCTTGCCAAGCTACTCAAGACTCTATAACCCCACCCGGTAGATCATCAGATGCAGCATTCTCCACCTGACCTCAACATTCTGACTATAAATACTCTCGTACCTTCCAACCCCAGGTAGATCCGTGTGACTTGAAAAAGCCCACTGTGTGGGTGAAACGTTGTCAATAAAGGATCACATTATACTGCATTTGTGTTTATATTTCTAAAGTTATGGTACTGGCCTCCACGTTAAGTTAGGGTACTGACCATAATGTAAAGTTGGGGTAAAAAAAACTCGATGTAAAGTTTGTGTACTGACCTCGTAGTAGTAGAGAGGAACATTGTGGGTGAGGACCTCGGAGAGCACGAAGCCCAGACACACGACCACCAGCAGCGTGGCGTACAGCAGGGAGAGCGTGATGAACGTCGACGTCCTGCAAGGAAGAAAGTTCACACGTCACAACACTGGACACACACACATGACGGAGGTGACGTCACAAAGACGTGAACTTGGTTACCTCAGATGATCCTATAAATCTACTGTAAGATATACGATTTATAATTGAGAAACAAAGCAGCCAGCTGATTACTTTATAAGGATAGCTAGCAAGAATATACAAGCTATAATGAGAGAGAAAGAGAGAGACAAGAAGTCTGGTCTCCACCACCATCACTAACTCTTCCCTCTCTCATGCAGGTGTGTGTGTGTGTGTGTGTGTGTGTGTGTGTGTGTGTGTGTGTGTGTGTGTGTACTCACCTATTTGTGGTTGCAGGGGTCGATTCACAGCTCCTGGCCCCGCCTCTTCGCTGATTGCTACTAGGTCCTCTCTCTCCCTGCCCCATGAGCTCTATCATACCTCGCCTTAAAACTATGTATGGTTCCTGCCTCCACCACATCACTTTCTAGGCTATTCCATGGCCTGACTACTCTATGACTGAAGAAATACTTCCTAACATCCCTTTGATTCATCTGAGTCTTCAACTTCCAATTGTGACCTCTTGTGTCTGTGTCCCATCTCTGGAACATCCCGTCTTTGTCCACCTCGTCTATTCCGCGCAGTATTTTATATGTCGTTATCATGTCTCCCCTGACCCTCCTGTGTGTGTGTGTGTGTGTGTGTGTGTGTGTTGTGTGTATATATATATATATAATATATATATATATATATATATATATATATATATATATATATATATATATATATATATATATAAAACACTGAAAGATAACTGCCAACTTTATACTTCAGCAAAGTAAAATTGATTTTCATATAATTATAAAAAATCTAATTCAGTGTACACAAAACAGCTTAATAAAATAAGAATATTATCATTAAGATAATTATCTTGGAGAGGACAGTCACATCGTTGGTTAATGAGGCACTCGAGTGCGTCTGGTTGTGAATATTAAAATGGTATACAATACCGACAGGTTGATGAGTAAGACACATGTGCAACAGTTAAGCATCTTTATTCCGAAACGTTTCGTCTACACAGTAGGCTTCTTCAGTCGTGTACAGAAGAGTTGTTCCATAGTCTGGAACAATGTTTCAGACTATGGAACAACTCTTCTCCAGTCTGAGGGAGTGACAACCTCAAAACTTCAAGGGTGATGGACTGATAATATTGTATTCACATCTCTACTGCTTCTGCTAACTCTTCGGTACTCGATTGAAGACGCCTACTGTGCAGGCGAAACGTTTCGGAATAAAGATGCTTAACTGTCGCACATGTGTCTTACTTACCACGTCAATTTTCTTGTCTTTTTCAAGAATAGATTAAACCTATTTATTTTAGCAAAGATATGGTCTATTTTTAAACTTTAATTCGGACAGATTCAGTCAATTTAGCTTGTTTAAATTAAGGATAGATTCAGTTAGCAACTTATTCTACGACAGATTCGGTTTAATTTATTAAGGGAAGATTCAGTCAATTTTTTCCCTATATATTCAGCCAATTTAAGCCATTTTAGAATAGATTCAGTTAATTTCAGATACACTGAGTCAATTTAAATTATTTTAGGGTACATTAAGTTTATTTTGGGCCGGATATAGTCAATATAACCTATTTCAGAGTGGCTAAGGTCTGCATTATCCAAGCCAAATTTAGGTAAATTTAACCACAAACCTTAAATAATAATAACTGGGTAAACTGGAAGACTGTTAGGCACAGACAACACCAGCTATACACTATGGTTACTAAGAATGTTGGAAACAATCAGGTATGTGGACGGGGTGAACGGACACACTTGATCGCCTCCTCTCACAGAACTCTGACACCTGCTGACACACCTACTGACTTACAAAGGTGATTGACACTGTTTTATGATCAACAAATTTGTAACTCTGGAAACATATTGAATCAAGAGGTTATTTTGTTGCAGATTTTTATATATATATATATATATATATATATATATATATATATATATATAAAATATAAAAATATATTATATATATATATTTTATATTGTCGTGCCGAATATGTAAAACTGGTCAATTAGCAAGAACTCATTTAAAATTAAGCCCTTTCTGAAATTTTTTCTTATACGTTTAAAGATATATTTTTTTCATTAATGTTAATGCAAAAATTTTAATTTTGCACCAAAAGAATCTTAGAAAACTTACCTAACCTTATTATAACAAGAACAATTTATTTTAGCCTAATCCCAACTAAATATATTTTAAATATGTTTACAATAATTAAAATACTAAACAAACAAAATCAAATGTATTTTTTTCGTTAGGTTAGAATCTTTTTTGGCGAAATTATTGCTACAAAATTTTTTTTAATAAAACTTGTTTTAATAAGGAAACGTTTGGAGCTTTTTATTTTTAAAAAATTTTTTAAAAAAAAAAAAAAAAGTTTAAATTTTTTAAAAAATAATATATTTATATATTTTTATAAAATATATATATATATTATATATATATATTATATATATATATATTATATATATATATATATTTATATATATATATATATTATATTGAGAGAGAGAGAGAGAGAGAATTTAACACTAGTAGTAGTAAGCTCCAACACTGGTGGTCGTGGTAAGCTCCAACACTGATTATGGTGGCAAGCTCCAACACTGTCGGTGGGAGTAGTGGTTGTGATAGACTCCAACAGTGATGGTGATGGTAAGCTCCAACAGTGATGGTGATGGTAAGCTCCAACAGTGATGGTGATGGTAAGCTCCAACAGTGATGGTGGTGGCTGTAAGTTCCAACAATGACAATAGTGAATAAATATCACAATACCATAGCTGAAACAGTTCACTATATTACCCATAAACTGGGGAACACGTTTAAAACGTTTCGGTCCATCCTGGACACTAACAAGTATGACAATGGTCCAGGATGGACCGAAACATCGTCTAAAGTTCTCTCTCAAACTCACGAGGTAATAATGAACTTGTGGTGGTGGTGATGATGAAGCAAAGACAACAACATACCATCTTCCCCTCCCCCCCACACGCACTACGAGGCGCTACTACTGCTGTTACTACTACTACTACAACTACTACTACGACAACTACTACTACGACAACTATTACTATAACTACAACAACTACTACTACTACTACTACTACTACCGCAGCACAGCAGCAGCAGACTGGAGACCCAACACGACCAAAATCAGTCAACAGTTTTTCTTCTTCCCCAACCCAGCATCTCATAAAGGACTGTAACAAGAAAAGGCAGTGACGCTACTGTGGTAAGTTAGGCCTGGGATAGGATGTAAGTTAGGCCGGGGGTAGGCTATAAGGTAGGCCTGGGTTAGGCTGAAAATTAGGCCGGGAGTAGGCTGAGGGGAATGGTACTGAGCATGCGAGAAAAATAGGCCAGGCAGTGTGCAGGTTCACAAAGTTCCCACGTTACCAAATTGTGTAAAGAGGCTGTCAGGTGGACTGAAACCTGAGTCAGCCAGGTTGTAGTCCTTCACCTGTACCACAGTACCACATGGGCGAAATACAGGTACCGGAATAAGGATACTTGTTCAGGTGCCATCGTGGTGCAGGGAGAGAGGTGAGGGAATGGCACCTGGCTGACCTCAGCTTAGGACATGACACCCAACACGAAAGCGTGAAATGTCAGCTTGAAGACGAAGATACAAGCTGCAGAAGAAGCATTAATTGGGACGTTATGATTGTTAAGTCATAACGTGATAACGCTCTACGGAGAGTGTAACGTTCTCCCAATGAAACTTGATTCTGCAATTTGCGTCTTTGTTTACAAACTCGTCTGCAATACGCCATTTTATCCAGACGTTTGTCTGAAGGTAAACAGTAAGTGGGTGACCGTGAAGCTCCTCGACAACGTTCAACACACTGAGTACAAACAATTTCTACTGAGGCTAGCAACTGCTGTGCAGCGTGAAGCACCCTTCTTGACCGCTGGGCGGGGGGCGTTGCAGTGTATGGGGGCATGGGGAGGAAAAATGAGAGGAAGAGCCGTGCGGGGAGGGGAGTGTGGGTGGCGCTTGATGGGGGGAAGGAACTTACCTGTTACCCCATGTTCACCTGTCTAGTGAGACTAGCACACCTGATCAGCGGTGACAACTATGGCGGTACTTACTTGGCGGAGGTCGGGTAGGGCGGTATGGGAACCATACAGCCACACTCGGGATCATATGGCACCACCATACCCGCCATACCCTGCGGCATGGAAGGTACACGCCCACTCAGCCCACTCACACTCCTCTCCACCCGCTCACCCATGCCATCCTTCTCTTTGATAGAGTCTGGGGTCCTGAGGTCGACCTTATCTGAGACGTAGCTGAGATGGGAGCCAGACTGGCGGTAGTGGTGATGGTGGGAGGAGTCTGAGGGCGGGGCGGTGGGCGGGGTGTCGAGTGTCAGGGTGTCAGATGAGTGTATGGTGCCACATCCCTGCTGCCCCTGCTGCTGCATACTGCCGTCCACGGTGGCCACCGAGAGCTCTTCGCTCATCCCGGCGGCGGCGGCGGCGGCCTCGACCTCCTGCTCTTGGACTTCGAGTTGTCAGGGTGGAGGAGGTCACTTTACTCCAACATGGCTGGTCCTTATTGGCGATTACATCCTCTATCTTGACATAATCCACTACTGGTGACACAACACTACAATCAGCTTTATCACACGCTCTCTAGTTCCAAGACGTTGACCAATTCTTAAGTTCCATCTAAACAATAGTGTAGATTAAGCAGTTCACTTCACGAGTACCACTGTTATCACAGATCAGTGCTGTTAGTTCTTGGTCGTTGTCTTCATGTATATGATCACACACACACACACACACACACACACACACACACACACACACACACACACACACACACACACACACACAATGCTCAACACCAGCAATGCACTAAACAACACTTACGAGAGAAAAGTTAAAACGATGTTTTGGTTAAGCCCCGGACCACTGTCAAGGCACAACTAAGAAGAAAAAAC